ACAATCAATCAACAAGTACATGAAAAAATGCTCACCATCTCTAGCAGTCAGAGAAATGCAAATCAAAACCACCCTAAGATACCATCTCACTCCAGGAGCTCCCACTTTGGCACTGGAAATCTGTTCCCTGGATCAGCAGTTCAAGAGGGCAAGGTCCCAAGTTCTTTAACTTACAGTTCTCAAGCTTACCTCTCTGGTTTACCTTTCCTGTCTCCGCCTGGAATGAGTTTTCAGTTTTTTGTGTGATTTTTTTTTTTTTTTTTCGGTACTGGGGATCGAACTCAGGGGCACTCAACCACTGAGCCATATCCCCAGCCCTATTTTGTATTTTATTTACAGACAGGGTCTCAGTAAGTTGCTTAGTACCTTGCCGTTGCTGAGGCTGGCTTTGAACTTGCAATCCCCCTGCCTCAGCCTCCTGAGCCACTGGGATCACAGGCGTGCACCACTGAGCCCAGCATGTGTTTGAGATTTTTATTTGCATACTGATGAAAACTGATGATGTATTCTTGGGTCCTCAGAGTTTGTTGTTGAAGGGTAAAAATGAAAACCAGCCATGACCAATATTTGAGTGTCTGTTACTGCTTTTTTCTTTCTCTTAAAAAGTAAAAGATCATAGAAATTGACTAAGTATAAAATGAAGAGCATAAGTTAAGATAGAAAGGGAAATCCTTTACTTCCTCACATTTCTCCACTGGAAAATCAGGGTAGTTAGGCCTTCATCAAGACAATTTTGAGCTGTCTTAATGGAGAGGAGTGCCAACGGACACCATGAAGTCAACTCCACTCATGTCTCTGAGAGGCCAGGGTTCCCAAAGGGCTTGCTCATGGAGACTGCTATAATGAAAGAAGGTTGGAGAAGCCATACCAGCTAGAAGTCAGCTGGGGCAGTGAGCCTGGGCCCCCTGAGGAAGAAGGAACCTGATTAGGAATGGTCCTTGTGACCAATGGAGCTTGAGCCCGGCCTCCATGGTGGCAAAGATTCCTGTGTTCAGGTTTGCCATGAAGTAAGTAGAGCTGTCCCCGCTCCCAGATGGAGGCAAGATGGTTGGAAGCCTATGGTCATCCTCATTAGAGGCAATTGAAAGTCTCCCATCAAAACAAACGTCATTGAACCCACAAAGGACCGTGGAACCCCCACGTGAAGCTGATTGGTAGGGTGTCCCAATCCAAGACCACACTGCTGTTTTACTAAGAAAGGAACTTCAGTACAAGGACTGAAGTGACCTGAGCAGCCGGACATAGGCAGAGGAAATAAGGAAATGACCCCAGTGAGGAAATGACCCTCACTCATTCTATCTTGTGAGACCTCAGCCTCAAAGGGAGGTGATCTATGCAGAACTATTAGTTTGTTTTTTTCCAAAATGTGATGTTGAGACCCAAAGTGTGTAACCACCCTGAGGAAGGTACAGAAAATACGGAGACAGAAAAGAGCTTGTTTCCCTATTGTTTTAAAGATGTGATTTCATTCTACAATTCTTTATATTTTTGATAATTTTTGAACAGTTCCCATGGACAAGGGACTTTCTTGGTTCTATTGGAGACCTACTGGAAATAAGGCTGAGTCCCTGTTCCTGGAGAATTAAAACGTGTCGGGATAGACAAGATATGCACATTTCTTTCTGGAATATTCTCTTACTCTTCACTTGGCCTGACTTGATTATGTTTCCATCTCTACTTCCACGTGCCTTTTTCAGATAGGCTGTTGGTGTTCCAGTCTCTAACCCAGACCAGACACTAAGTTATGTTCCTACTGTGTCCCAGAGTCACCAGTATAGTGTTCCTTTTGAAATTCATCACACACATTTACTTCTTTTTTTAAAAATGTTCGTTTTAGTTGTAGTTGGACACAAAGCTTTATTTTATTTTTTTTTTTAAGTGGTGCTAAGGATCGAACCCTGTGCCTCACACATGCTAGGTGAGTACTCTACCACTGAGCCACAATCCCAGCCACACATTTATTTCTTTAGCGTATCTTTTCTCTCCAGAGTATACAAGTCTCATGGGCAGGGACCCGTTTGCCTCTTTCACAGCAGTGCCCCTCGGTGGCTGGCATAGCACTGGTGTAGTCGGGAGGACTCAAGACATAAAGGTGAAGGAAGAGCTTATTGTTGCTCTTAGAACACAGTGGTGCCCAGAGGAAGGCAGAGAGAGCCATGGACCCACAGGGGGAGAGGAGTTTAAAGGAGGTGACACAAGGCTTACCTTTGGAGACAGAATGTCAGTGGCTAAGGAGGGCAGGGAATTTGACAACAGAAGCCAGGAAAGGGAGGTGATGATGATAACAACGAAGGTAGCACTTATCATGTGTGCACTACACACCAAGAATGTTCATCATTTATTTGTTACATCAACCTGGAGGGTAGGTAGGTATCAGTGGGCTCCACCTCTAGATGGAAACTGGGATTCAGAGGTTGGTTAGGTTACGGGCCAAAGCCAGATCAGTGGAAAATGAAGGTGTTCAGCTCTGCACTAAGATGCATTCCCATGAAACCTTAGTTCTACACATGAGAAGGCAGTAAGAGGTGGAAAAACTGGAGAAGCACGTTGCATTTTGACTCTTGTGGGTCTTGAATGCCATGCTAAGGGATTAAGAGTTTAGACGTTAGCCTAATATACGTATTTATTTCTTTGATTACTAGAGAGGCTTTGAGGATTTGTGAGCACATTTCTCTAGAGAAAAGAACAGGAGGGGGGTGGGGGGTGGGGGGGTCTGAGATTTGAGAGTCAGCAGCAGGGGAGGCATACATCCAGAATGAAGAGGAAATGAACGCGAATCTGGTTAGAGAGTCCGGGAAGAGGAAAAAAGAAACAATTGCTCCTAAATTCCCACCTGGCTGCCTAGGAGGCTGAGACGCTCTTAAACAAAGCTTGACAGAGAAGAAACCCATTTCAGGAAAGGTCTTAGGAAGAAATGTAG